AAATTTATAAATATTCCTGGTCAAATATCTGATGTGTCCCGATTAATAAGTGTTATAACAATCACAGTTATAGCTTTCGAAGTTTATATCACACCAACTACATCAAACCAATAATAGATACTGTTTTTAGGCGCGTCGCGTTGTTTATATTTATAGGCGTGTGGAGAGTTTCTCGAAACTTCAGGTTATGCAATAATAGAAACGCTACACTAGCGTTTACGTACACACGTATATTGTTGATTCTTACACTCGATAATCTCCTATAACTTTAGAAAATATGCAGAAGTTTCGCAATACAGATTTAACAGTATAAGTTATGTACATTTTTAAATATAAATTTAATTTAAACAAACATCGATATTAACTAAATATATAATAGTAAATCCGTCACACTACATACTAAAGTGCTCTCATATGGAGCGTAACACAACGAAAAGAAGTGGCCAAGAGAAAACAGTAGTAACCTAACGAAAACAATTGTTAATCCAACAAATAGTAATGACAACTCAATAAAAAACAATGATAATCAAACAAAAAACATTGATAATTCCAAAAATAAGAGTGGTAATAATCTAACAAAAATTAGTGTTACTCAAACACAAAGTAATAATACTCCACAAAAAAGTTATAATACCAAAAATACTGTGATAGCCTAACATATATTTTTTTTTTTTCAAATAAATATCTCTGACCGTTTTTCAGTTTAGTTTTCCGGAAAAGACATTTTGTGAATTTTATAAAACCACTTCTCAATATTTAATATAATAAGTAAAATATAACGTTAAATATGTAAAACTGGGATATTTTTACAATTACACCATCTCTCTTGTTGCAGGATGTCATTTGACGATTTTCTGAAGAACTTTACCCATTTATATTTGATTCACATTGGACCAGATGACTGGATGCAAGAAAATTCCTTACATAATAAGCGACCATGGCGAGCAGTACTCGCCAGAAGGCGCTGGCGTTCAGGTTTTAACGCTGGCGGTGGTCCCCTGTATAGAGGTTTGTTTTGTTTTGTTTTTTCTCTATTTATAATTATTAACACTTATTGTTAGGATTAATACTTTCAGTTCTGCAGGAAATAATATATTTATCAAAAAAGTCAAAATGATAGAAACTTAACAGCTATTGTTTCAGCCATGGATTTTATATCATATTTTTAGTAGCTATTTTCATCGTTACAGTAACCTCCACAGATAATTAGCATTAACCTTCTTTTTATACCTATTCGTAATTTGACTTAAATATAAATACATAATATTGTATTATTAATTCTTACTCTAATTCTGATTTATAAATTACTTAAATGAAGTAGATAATAATTACAATTCATTTACTTAATTTAGCTCACAATAACGCCTCGATCACTACTATGTCTATTGTATTCCAATAGGACTGATGATCGTGGTATTGAGGAAAAGGCCTCGTCGGCACTGAATATAGTAGACATAGTATGACTGACATATTATTACATATTTTAATTTGCTTTTGCTGAGAAGTTCTTTGAAATGCTGGTGAAAGAATTATGAAAATGCAGTATGGTATTATTTTTCTATGTCGAATTAGTTTAGTTTCAAAGATGTTCATCACGTGCTACCTCGCGCATCATGGTACTAATACGTATCACTATTGAAACTGTGATTTATCTCAATTTCTTTCCTGAAAATTATTTTGCCAAGTTTTATGAGCTGTCAATGGAAGGTGCAACGTGAAATGCAGGAATTTTTCATTTCAGATGCATATCTAGAAATCAGTCTAGAAGCATAGATACACAGCTTTATTTTATTTTAAAGCATTGAGTTCAACATGTGGACTGAGTTAACTATGATCTTACTCTCCTGTTTTTTCTTGGTTTTGAGGCAAAGTTTCGAGCTACTTCTCAAGTTCTCCATCAGATCTGTAAGACAGAAGCGTGGCGCCCCCGGTGGTACAGTGTGTCTGTTTCGATACCTGTGGTGAGCAGAGCACAGAGACCATTGTGTAGCTTTATGCTTAATAACAAACAACAACAGGGGCGTGGCTTCATAGAGTAAGCTTCAGCTGTCAAGAATTTCATTGAAAAGGCTGTTGAATCATGTGTTTGTTAAGTTTCTGTAGAATACGGTTCCATATATTGCTAGTTTTTAGGTCTTGGTTTCGGTTGACTTTATATATTTATTTCTAAAATCTTTAATTTTCTTAAGTTTTCAATATTATACTGTATATAAACTCGTGCTCTTGTTCCATCACAATATGTGTTCTGTGCTGTAAGAATGATCAGCTATGGAAGATATTTCTAGGTGTAGGAGTTTTTGTATCAAAGTGTTCTCTTAGTTTCTGATCGATAGCTCTACTGTTTCTCCTCTGTAGGTTTCACTGCAGCTGTAGAAAACAATGTAAACCATATGTTTTCACTTCTTGGTATTACTAGGTTGTTTAGTTCTTGTCCAAATATTTCGAAGATTTTGTCAAATTTTAAACAAACTCTGATTTTGAAGTTCCAAAACGTTTTTCTGAGTTTGTAGTTTAAATTAAGTAGTATAGGTAGGAAGTTAGAGTTGAAAGGTCTTCGGAGAATTCAGTGAGAAGCCCTTAGATTTTGGTGACTGTTTAATGAACTGCTTAGGGTAAACGCTAGCTTGAAAGGTCTTTTGATGAGGCAGATTTCTTGTTTTAAACTTCGGATGACACAAGCTGAAAGTCCTTAAATTGAAAATGCGTGGTGATAAAGCAACAGAAGGTGAGTTCCATACTGGAATCAACAGAATGGTTGGTTCACAGGTTTAAGTGAGAGTTCATTTCTAGCCCGTTACTTTGTCCCTGTACTGTTGTTGTTGTTTTCTTAGTGCAGATATACATAATTGATTATCTTCACTCTGTTCACTGCGGAAAATCTAACCCTGTATGTTTGCATTGTAAGTCCGTAGGTTTACCATTGACCCACAAGGGAACGTCCCTACACTAAATAAAAAAGACAGTTTTCAACAGCGCAGATAGCTTTGCGCGAAATTCAAAACAAACAAAAAGTGGCAAATTCAACAACTTTTGTCTCAGAACTTAAATACATTTCAATCCATTCAGGATGTATTTTTGTCAGTTTCGATGTTACCAACATGTCTTTTAACACACCAATTCCTGATTCACTCAGAGTCATCAGACAGAAATTAAACCTGCTAAAACAGCTGATGGGCTTTCTGTAAAGACCGCGCTGCTGTCTTACAATCTGTTTTTCTTGACAAAATATATTCCTGATGAAGAACTCAACAATAAACCTGAAACTTCGTCTCGAAATTTAGAAATTATATATATATATTATTTATGATACTTTAAAACCATTTGTTTTTTCCATGTCCAGAAACGACAGCGATGAATCCACAGTTCCACATCCATATACCAAAAAACGGAGCAAAGAAGTGTCACGTGGTTGTTTCTGTAACTCAACATTACACGCCTGGACAAGTGACAGAAGACGGCAAAAAAAATGCATTTTATCCTATAGGCTTTACTGTGTATGAGGTTAGTGTTCAGGATACAATCATTGTTTTCACCGGTTCTTTGTATTTTCATATTTTTATCTCACGTGGTATTGGATGTCAAATGAAACTGGACATAGCAAGTAAGGTATTAATCCTGCAAAACAGAATTTGTCTGTAAAGTACGAAAAAATATAAACTTAACCAGAAAAAAAACGAAATTAGATGCAGCTGTTTTACTAAGAAGAAGAAAAAAACCTTTACTGCCTCCGTCAAAAGTTAAATGTGGCACGGGAAAATGTGTTCAGAGTAAATAAAACTATTTTCCCTTTATCTGAGGTCGCTTCCCTGGAGTGAAAACAGACTACTGTACTTGATAAAAAAAAAAGCTATTAAAATATCTTCATGGAACAAAAACAATACAAATCTGTTTAGAACTAACTTCAGTTAGAATTAAGTTACAATCTCAATCCTCTACAGAAGCTTCCCACAACGATAAGTCATCAAATCAGCCATGTTAATTGAAAATGAAAGGTAGATTTTTTTTTATATTTCTCTATCTTCAAGTGTTTAAAAATTAAACTTGATACCAACATAATGTAATTCACATCATAACAACTTTTATTTTCATGCAATTTGATAATATACATAGCGTCACAACCACTACTGTGTTTTTGTATCCTAGCTAGTCTGGTGAGTTCTAGTATTGCCGAAAGGCCTCGTCGGCACTGGATATGACAGATATGGTGTGGTTGACATGTTTTTATACATTCTTTGTTTTTGCTCTTACGTTCTTAGAATTAATATATAACCAGTATATCTGACTACCTGCTGGCACCAACTCAACAAATTATCCTATAAGGAGGTCAGATGTGAAAATAAACAAATCCTGGGTTAAGCCTCCAAAAGTGTGAGACAGATCCTAACGACAAAATTAGTAAAGCTCAAAATTGAACACAGAAGCTGCAATTTCATTATTTGTTTAACATTTTACGCCTGTTTGCTTAAATTAATAAACAATGAAAACTTTGTAAAATGTGCGATTTATTTTATATAGGTTCCACCTAATATGGCACGTGTTACAACTCAGTTTCTCCTCACACATCAACCTTTGGATGTCACTACTCATTCGATTTCCAGAGAGACTGTAACCTTTTTTACACTACCCCCTGGTGATTTTGTTATTGTTCCTTGTACAGAAAATCCAAACTGTGAAACTAGGTTTCTTCTCCGTATACTAACGGACGAACAAAGTAACATATGGTAAGCATAATGGACGCTTTTTCTTTTAGATTGCTGTTGTGGTTGTAGCATAGCCGTAAGATGTAAAGAAACTAATAAAATAGTCTAATTAATGGCGCAGGTTTTCAACTATGTTAGCTTTTTGGTATCTTAACAGACTTTACTGTTACTTGTTTTAACGTTTGTTATATCTTACACTGACTTTACTGCAACTTATTTCAAATTTTATTGCATCTTACACAATCTGTACTGTAACTTGTTTTAACTTTTATTGCATCTTACACTGACTTAACTGTAACTTGTTTGAAATTTTTATTGCATCTTACATAGACTTTACTGTAAATTGTTTTAACTTCCATTGCATCTTACACTGACTTTACTGTAACTTGTTTGAAATTTTTATTGCATCTTACATAGATTTTACTGTAACTTGTTTTAACTTTTATTATATTATATCTTACACGGAACTTACTGTAATTTGTTTTAACTATTACTCCATATAGTTTAAATTTTTGTTGAAATTAGTGTTTAATCTTACTTCAATTCCTCTTAACAAATAAAGAAATGTCACAGACAAATATTTAGCAAAACATGATATGTAATAATGTAATAATATGTAATAATAGCAAAAAACGTCTAAAAGTTTATAATTTTCAAGTGTTTTGGTCAATGGAGTACTTCAATGTAAAATACAGATATGTTAATGAGAACTAAGGGACTCTGTTTATTCGGAAAATACATCCAGAGATAGAATAAAGAAAAAATATATTTGAAATTATTAACTTCTTATCAAATCAAGATATTTACATAGATCATAATTAAAAATTTAATTATTTAGAGCTTTTGTGTTAACACTGAGATTATTGTAAAACCAAGTCTAATAAATGATTAAACAAGATTCGTATTTAAAAAACCTGTATAGAAAAAATATGTGTCTGGTGCAACTTTGAACTCTGTGGTGTATGAGGTAATAACGCGACATTTTTACCAATATTTTCAAATTAACATTACAGGGAAGTTAACGAAGACAACCTTATATACCGTGACCTGAACTTTAGTAAACCTGGTGAACTCATAACAACAGAGGTGGTTTGACCTTTTTTCATTTTCGTATTTTTTGTCGAATGCCAGTTAAATAACATATATTAAAGAAGTAATTTTACACAAGCTGGGTTAGTTAATATTTTAGTAGTCTGTCTTTTACAGCAACATATAATTTTAGTCGACACAGTATAACGAAGATAACGGGAAAGTTTAGTAACAAAATGCGCAACATTTTAAACCTTAAAGTATTTACAGTGGTGAAAAAAAAATATTGCGTCTCCCAATTCTTATCACACTTTTCTTGGATCCTATAGTTGTTTACGAGATTGTGTATTGTGAAAGTGTCAGAACTGGTTTAAAACAGTTATGGACATTATGTAGTGTAAGCTGACTCATATTTCAGTCATTCAAACACATCTCTATTAAGAAACCAATTGTGACAAACGTATTACAGCAGATGATCAACAAATACTTGACAGATACGAAGATGTTCTATGAATAAGAAAACCTAGATTTAAAGATAACACCACTAATGTAATTGACAAAAAAAGTGATCACCGAGTCTGTTTATTGTATTAATATTTGGTTGTGTCTCCTCTGGCCTTGATAACTGATTTGCGTTGTCATGGCATAAAGTGAATTTAGGCAGGGGTGAGTTCATGGTGCCACACGCGGATTAGGGTTTCGTGCAGTTCCAAGGTAATTCTCGTTTTTTTTTCTCTTGCATTTTTCGATAGGGTTAAAATTTGGGCAGTTGCCTGGCCAGCGTAATGTCTTTATCCTCTCCCTTCGAAGATAGCCCTTCACTTGAAGCAATGAAATAAAACCTAAGGTTTCTTTTCAATACGCGTATAGTGAAATTTCCCGCTTTGTATCACGTCTACTGCATAGAGTCCATGAATATTACCAACGATTTCGGCTCTGCGTTATGGATCAGAGTCATCCTGGAATGTTCACTGATCTGCTTTACTGAAGTGATCCCGAATTGTTAGCTTTAACTGGGACTCGTAGATCTCGGTGTAGCAGATAAACTTCTAAACTAACTCTCAGTAACAACCTCCACTTATAGCCAAAAATACCAGCTGATGCAATACCCAGACAGCCTATAAAGCTGCTGATGTAATAATTAAACATTATTGCGCAATCAATGAAACACATCTGTACCTACATTCATAAGGGTCTCAAAACAGACGATGATTCCGAAGAAAATAGTGAAAAAATTGGGTGATGCTATAAATTTCCCCACCACTTTAGTAACATAACATATTGGTTTTAATGTTTGAAATGTTTAGTAACATAATAAATAAAGTATTGATCGTTGAAATGTTTAGTAATATAATACATAACGAAGTGTTTAGTAACATAATACATTGGTTTTAATGTTTGAAATGTTTAGTAACATAATAAATAAAGTATTGATCGTTGAAATGTTTAGTAATATAATATATAACGAAGTGTTTATTGACATAATCGATAACGTTTTAATCTTTGAAGGGTTTATTGACATAATCGATAACGTTTTAATCTTTGAAGTGTTTATTGACATAATAGATAACGTTTTAATCATCTTTGAAGGGTTTATTGACATAGAAGATATCGTTTAATCCTTAAAATGTCTAATAATATTATAAATGATAAGTGACTTTTTGATCTTCAGTGATTCATAAACATGTTTTATTTAAAACGATTATTATCATTACAATAGTAGTACACGTGTAAAAACACATTTTTTCGTATAGTATACATGAAAAAACACATATTGTTGTATAGTACACTTGTAAAAACACATTTTGTCGTATAATACACTTGAAAAAACACATATTGTTGTATAGTACACTTGTAAAAACACATTTTGTCGTATAGTATACATGAAAAAACACATATTGTTGTATAGTACACTTGTAAAAACACATTTTGTCGTATAATACACTTGAAAAAACACATATTGTTGTATAGTACACTTGTAAAAACACATTTTGTCGTATAATACACTTGAAAAAACGCATATTGTTGTATAGCACACTTGTAAAAATACATTTTGTCGTATATTACACTTGAAAAAACACATATTGTTGTATAGTACACTTGTAAAAATACATTTTGTCGTATAGTACACTTGAAAAAACACATATTGTTGTATAGTACACTAATAAAAACACATTTTGTTGTATAGTACACTTGTAAAAACACATTTTGTCGTATAGTACACTTGTAAAAATACATTTTGTCGTATAGTACACTTATAAAAACACATTTTGTTGTATCTGATTTATTCATCTTTTTTAGAATGGGCATAATATTATCACGAGGATCATGCACAAGGTACGTGAATATGTTTTGTTTTACATTGTCTTTAATTTGTTTGTTTGAAGTTAAGGACAAAGCTACACAATGGGCGAGCCTCCACGAGTATCGAAACCCGATTTCTACAGTTGTAAGTTCGCAGACATACCGCTGAGCCGCTGGGGGGGCCTTTAATTAGTATATATATTTATTTATTTGGTCTTCATCGAAACAAACAGTATTCCAATTCTAGTTTTCTTTTTACTTTAGATTTATTTGTTTTTACTGCCCTTTTTATGTACAATATGTGCTAGCTTTACAACTCTCTTGAAGGATATCTTAAATTGATTATTTGCCTATTCTTACGTTTTTTATAAGCGACTCTTTAATCTTTCCATTATTTTAAAGTTTCTGAATATTTTTCTTCGTGTTCTTTTAACTCTCATGTGTCTGGTGCATCTGAATTTCCCTTGTTCGTGTTCATTTCGATAATGTCTCATTGGTACAAAATTCTCTGATTGTTTAC